AGACAGATGCCGGCATCAAACAGAGGAGATGGCCGGGGGCCCCGCTGCAAGAGGGACATCGGGGTAACGCAGGACAAGGTAAGTGAAACAGAGATCCCGGAGCAACGCTGCAGTGTATTCCCGAGTGTAGATCGGGGTTACCGCTTTTGGTACTGAAAGTTAACCCCGAGCTACACTCGGGAATACCACCAGGGAGGTTAAACAAGAGCTATTGCCTAAATTTAGTTTTTGGCTTTGTGGTAGTTAGCCCAGATAGATTGTATAGTTTTTCACTTGGTCTTTCCCTAATCTCATTTAGATTGTGATTTTTCACTGCTGCCAGTAGTTATCGCTAGTACAACGGTCAACAGTATGAGATTTGTAACAAGATTGAGTTCTGAACATTTATATTTTCTTCAGCCAGCCCAGTAGGAGCTTTAGTGCCACTGTTGCAGTCTAGGGGAAGATGTGTGCTTTCTCTCTTCCCCCCAGACTGAGGCTTGGGGAGGTGCTGCTGGATTGAAGTAGATATTAGTCCCTATAGCCTGTGTGGAGCCTGACTTGCTGAATGTGGAAATAAGCCTGAAGTGGTCCTGAAGGCTGTTCTGCCTGCCTATGGGCAAAGCTTTGCCAAGATTGAGAGCCAGGAGATGACCATGCTAGAAGAAGCCAGGAAGGAGACTGATTTCTTAGCAAGGGTCTCGTCAACTCTCTTTGGGATGCTGCATGAAGCCTAAGAAACAGAGAGAGAAGTCTATGGATCAGCTTCCATGCTATTTTCAGTGAAGCTGGGCATGGGAGAAGTCTGTAAGTGTTCTACTAGGGTATCTGGGCCTCTAACCTTCACCTCCTAGTTTGTTCATTATATCTTCCAAAGTGACAGGCATCTGATGTTCTTTCTTGGTCGCCCACCTTAGTCATGGACTCAGCCCTGGGAGGAAATGTTGGTCCACTCCTACCTCCAGAGGTGCCATCATGCCTTCAAGGGTCAGAGAGGTACTACACCAATTCTTAATAACATTTACTGTATTTATCATATAGCCCATACTACATTCAGAGTTACTAATTGGGAATCGTTTTTCACCTTGGAGACTCCATTGCAGGTTGGCTAACATTTTTGTATGCCTACTTGTTTTTATGTTATCGGACAGTCACTTGATATGCCCTCTTCCTCTTTGCTTCTTCTCCAGTGCTGGGAGTTCCTAAAGCTGAAGTAGATATTGAAATTTTCACAGTTACCTTGGTCCAGCTTGGACCAATGTAGGCATGTATGTGCCATACCTGTGGAAACTGGAAATCACTGTAGTAGAGACCGCTACTCCAGCGATCTCCACCATCTTCCAGATTAAGTGGCTGCCCTTCTGCATTGTGAACACAGGCACAGGTGCCGTTGAGTGAACACTTTGCATTTTCTCAGTTAATGCAAAGCATTCTCTAATTGGATGAGGTGGAGAGGCAGGGCAGTGATGTTGTAATCTCCACCTCATCCAATCAGTGAACACTTGCAGTCTTTGCGAATGAATGCGCCCTAGCAACGGTAGGATGCTAGTTGGTAGAATTGGGTGGTGTATCTTAGCATCAAAGTGCACTAGGTAGCTTTCTTGAGAGGCGGCCTGCATCCTATCAATGGAGAATGTTAGGTGGCATTAGCTGCCTGCCTTCTAGCAACAGAGGATGCTTGGTAGCAATAATCACCGGAGGCCTAGTAATGGTAGAATGCCAGGCAGCAGAAGCCAATGGAGGATGCTAGGTAGCTTCCCACAGAAGCTGCCTGTATACTAACAAAGGAGAGTACTAGGCAGCCTGCCTTCTAGCAACGGAGGGGGCTATATGGCAATAGCTGCCTGCCTCAGCAGTCAGTATGATCACCTGCTGAGTATGCAGCTTCTTTACCTTTAATCCTTGCCTATGTTCCAGTTTAAGTTGGTGCCATGATCACTGCCTCAGGATTTTTTCAGGGTGGCTCCTTTCTCTTGCAACATCCTATGGAGCCACCCTTGCATGCAGGGACTAGAGCTGTGTCTCTACACTAGAAACACACAGCCCCATTACCTAGAATGGCAAGGTGCCCCTCCTGCTCCTTCCTTCTCCCCTTCTCTTCTCCAAGCAATCACAGTGACTGAAGACTGCACTGTCCACTGTTAACTCTTTCCTGTGATGATTGAAAGCTCAGGGAAGCAGCACCGATAAAGCAAGAGGCAGTAGAACTGAAAGCTGTATACTGTGCTGGGCTATAAGTTTTAGCAAATAGTTTACTGGCAGGGGTGGACTGACCATTTGGAAACTCGGGCACTGCCCGAGGGCCCGGGGTCAGTAGGGGGCACCATGAGATGCCCCTGGTACCTTTTTCATAGGCTTTTTTTGAGTTTGGGCAAGGACACAGGGGCCCCATGATCCCCCATTGGCCAGGGGCCCCATGAGTTGTCAGTCCGTCCTTGTTTACTGGGTAATGTTTATTTCATTGTGCTCAATGTGTTAAATGAAAAAAGCGCTGAGGGTTAATATTGCTTCAATTTATATAATGCATCTGTGTTGCTCTTGCTCAGACAAATGAGGATGGCCTTAAACATTGCTGTCTGAGGTCAGGTTGTGGGCCGCCTAGGTGCAACTTGATTGCCTGGGGCAGTACAATTAAAAATAAAACCTGACAGAGCGTGGCCCTGAGAGTATAGAGCGCAGGAACTAAGAGCAGAAACTAGAATCTGTGTGGATAGCAGTAGGGCTGTGCCAGAGGCCCTGTCCATGGTGCTGCTGTGCAGACTGTGCTGGTCTCCACTGAACAAATTCAGAAAATAAACTAATGAAAGACAAGATCCGCATGAAACTAAATGGCTGTGAGAGCCAGTGAGGGTTTGGGGCTACCAGCTAGATTATTATTTGTAATGGGACCAAAAAGAGTCCCTGTTAGGTGAAAGTAGCATTCAAGTTGAATTGCAAAAGTCAAAAGGAAAAAAGGAAATTCTCTTTCTTTTTGTTTTTTTTTGTATTTTTTTTTGCTCATGGCATTGGAAAAAGTGCACAGTGTATGCCAAAGGTTAATACACCCCTTACACCAAATATAAAGAACTCCAGTTCATTTACTTGAAGGAACAGTCCACCTCCTTTCCAAAAATGGTGAATGCAGCAAACTGATCTCATGATCGCTGTGCATTTACTATTTATTTTTTTGCATAGAAGCTTACTAAGCATTGAACCTGCATTGTAGGTGCAATGCACAGGCTCTTGCAATTTCTGCCCTCATCCCCAGGTCATGGGACTGTGGGAGTGGACTAAAATTGCAGAGACTTCACTGCTGCAGGGGGAGGTGGGACTTGTCGAACGTTTAGTCAACAGTGAATGATATGGCTGTGCAAACAGCGCCACATACTACAGACTCATTAAATCAGCCGCCTCCCGCCCGCCGTGTAGGGAAATGACAGACAGGTGGGAGCTCTCTTGTTCTGGGAGGACTTATGATGTCCTCCCACTCTAGGTGTGCATGCCCACATATCAGTACCCTGATTATCAGTGCAGCCCCATCAGTGCTACCTTTTTAGTGCCCATCATTGCCACCAATCAGTGCCCATCATTGCCACCAATCAGTGCCCATCATTGCCACCAATCAGTGCCCATCATTGCCGCCAATCAGTGCCCATCCCATCAGAGCTGCCTTTAGTGCCCATTAGTGATCAGTGCAGCCTATCAATGCCTCCTCAACAGTGCAGTCCATCAGTACCCATCATTGCCACCTACCAGTGCCCATCATTGCCACCAATCAGTGCCATCATTGCTGCCAATCAGTGCCCATCAGAGCTGCCTTTAGTGCCCATTAGTGATCAGTGCAGCCTATCAATGCCTCCTCAACAGTGCAGTCCATCAGTACCCATCATTGCCACCTACCAGTGCCCATCATTGCCACCAATCAGTGCCATCATTGCCGCCAATCAGTGCCCATCAGAGCTGCCTTTAGTGCCCATTAGTGATCAGTGCAGCATATCAATGCCTCCTCAACAGTGCAGTCCATCAGTACCCATCATTGCCACCTACCAGTGCCCATCATTGCCACCAATCAGTGCCATCATTGCCGCCAATCAGTGCCCATCAGAGCTGCCTTTAGTGCCCATTAGTGATCAGTGCAGCCTATCAATGCCTCCTCAACAGTGCAGTCTATCAGTACCCATCATTGCAACCTACCAGTGCCAGTCAGTACTGCCTATCAGTGCCCATCCCTGCCGCCTATCAGCTCCAGTCAGTGCTGCTTATTAGTGCCACATATCCGTGCCCATTAGTGATGCCTGTCAATGCCCATCAGTGCCGCCTGTCAGTGCCTCCTCATCAGTGCAGCCTATCAGTGCTGTTTGTCAGTACCCATCACTGGCGCTTAGCAGTGCTGTCTGTCAGTGCCTTCTAACAGTGGCACGTCATCAGCACACATCAATGAGGGAGAAAAATTACTTAGTTAAGCAATTTTATAACAGAAACTAATAAACGTTTTTTAATTTTTTTTAATTGTCTTTTTTAGTTTGTTTACCTAAATATAAAAGACCCCGAGGTGATTAAATATCACCAAAATAAAGCTCTATCAGTCTCAAAAAAAAATGTATAAAAATTTGGTTCAGGTACAGTGTTGCATGACCGCACAATTGACATTCAAAGTGCAACAGCACTGAAAGCTGAAAATTGGCCTGGGCAGGAAGGGAGTAAAAGTGCCTTGTAGGCAACCCCCTTCTTGCATAGGCCAATTTCAGTGCCTTTTGCATTTTTAATGGAAAATTGCGTGGTCATGCAACACTGTACCCAAATTAAATTTTCATAATTTTTTTCATACAACCAGAGCTTTTTTAGTGGCTTTTATTCACCGCTGGGTGTTTTATTGTTTGCTAAACACTACAAATTGCTAAAGACCAAACATTGTGAAAAAAAGAAGTCTTAGTTTCTATTATAACATTTTGAAAACAGGTAATTTTTCTCCTTCACTGATGTACGTTGATGAGGCTGCACTGATGGGCACTGATGAGGCGGCACTAGTAGGCATTGATGAGTAGCCACTGATGAGGCTGCACTGATGGGCACTAATAGGCAGCACTGAAGGGCAATGATAGGCGGCACTGATGGGTGGCACTGCCTGGCAGCACTGATGGGCACAGATTGGCAGCACTGATGGGCACTGACTGGTAGCACTGATGGACCCTGATTAGCATTAATAGGCAGCACTGAATGGCAATGATAGGCAGCACTGATGGGTGGCACTTCCTGGCAGCACTGATGGGCACTGACTGGTAGCACTGATGGACCCTGATTGGCATTGATAGACAGCACTGATGGGCATTAATAGGCAGCACTGAATGGCAATGAGAGGCAGCACTGATGGGTGGTACTACCTGGCAGCACTGATGGGCACTGACTGGTAGCACTGATGGACCCTGATTGGCATTGATAGACAGCACTGATGGGCACTGTTGGGGCTGCACTGAAAATCAGGGAACTGATAATCAGTGCCCTGATTATCAGTGTAGATGTCTCCTTTCACACTTGCCGGTTATCGGCAGTACTTTCCTCCAGCTGTGACAGTGTGAGAAAAGTACTGCCAATAACCGGCAAGTGTGTTTACATCATGATCCGCTGTGATTGATCACATGGTAAAGGGCCACTGTGATTGGCCCTTTACCATGACATGTGATCAACTGTGTCCAAAGGACACAGCAATCACAGAGAGTGCCAGGTGCACACTGCAGTGTCATATGACGCCCTCCCATAACTGGACAACTGCACTGAAGCCATCATTTGGCTATAGCGTGGTCAGCAAGTGGTTAAAAATAAAACGATTCTATTGAAGTTTATATGAGATTTAAAGCGGTTGTACAAGCTGAAGGTTTTTTTACTTTTATGCATTCTACACTTGAAGGTAAACAATTCTGTGTGCTGCTCCCCCCACAGCCCCCCTCCCCCCCTTTTACTTACCTGAGCCCCATTTCAATCCAGGGCTGTGCACTAATGCAGAGGCTCTCCCACACTGTCCCTCATTGGCTGAGACACAGCAGCTGGATCCATTGATTCCCACTACTGTCAATCACAGCCAGTGAGAAGAGAGTGGGGGTGGGGCTGAGCCATGTTCAGGGGCGGACTGACAACTCATGGGGCCCCCGGGCAATAGGGGATCATGGGGCCCCTGTGTCCTTGCCCAAACTCAAAAAAGCCTATGAAAAAGGTACCAGGGGCATCTCATGGGGCCCCCTACTGACCCCGTGCCCGAGTTTCCAAATGGTCAGTCCACCCATGACCGTGTTCTGTGTGTGTCTTAATAGACATAGGCTCGAGAGCGAGCACACACACGAGCAGGGGCGGACTGACAACTCATGGGGCCCCCGGGCACTAGGGGATCATGGGGCCCCTGTGTCCTTGCCCAAACTTAAAAAAGCCTATGAAAAAGGTACCAGGGGCATCTCATGGGGCCCCCTACTGACCCCGTGCCCGAGTTTCCAAATGGTCAGTCCACCCATGACCGTGTTCTGTGTGTGTCTTAATAGACATAGGCTCGAGAGCGAGCACACACACGAGCAGGGGCAGACTGACAACTCATGGGGCCCCCGGGCACTAGGGGATCATGGGGCCCCTGTGTCCTTGCCCAAACTTAAAAAAGCCTATGAAAAAGGTACCAGGGGCATCTCATGGGGCCCCCTACTGACCCTGGGCCCTCGGGCAGTGCCCGAGTTTCCAAATGGTCAGTCCGCCCCTGCACACAAGTGCCCCCAAAGCAAGTGGCTTGCTATGGGGGCACTCAGCAGGGGGAAGGAGCCAGGAGTGCCGGCAGGGGATTTGAGAAGAGGAGTATCGGGGGCTCCTCGGTACAAAACCATTAAACACAGCAGGTAAGTATGACATGTTTGTTATTTTTAAAAAAACTGAGCCTTTAATATCACTTTAAGTAATTTGGTTAACATATATTTTAAGGCTCCATTCACACTGTACTGCAAAGGACGCCTAGGAGAAAAGCAGCTGGAAAAATACAGTAAAAGCCGCATTTCTTATGTTTATGCATTTGATGTTAATGGTTTCTATTGGCTGGAATAGTACGTTTTTCTGGCCATTAGAATGTATAATATGCATTTATGTACATTTGACCCTTTTTTTCAGCCTAAACGCTCCTCTTCAGAACACGAAGCGATTAGGGATGTTTTCTGCCTTTAAGCGTTTCTGCTTCTTAACAGCACGAAACACCTATGTACACATATGGGGAGATTTACTAAAACTGGTGCACTCAGAATCTGCTGCACCTTTGCATGGTAGCCAATAGTGATGGGCTGACCACCCCCGTGTTCAGTTTGTCCAGGGGCGGACTGACCATTTGGAAACGCGGGCACTGCCCGAGGGCCCAGGGTCAGTAGGGGGCCCCATGGATGCCCCTGGTACCTTTTTCATAGGCTTTTTTGGGTTTGGGCAAGGACACAGGGGCCCCATGATCCCCTATTGCCCGGGGGCCCCATGAGTTGTCAGTCCACCCCTGGGTTGAACAATCAAAACTAGCGAAAGTTTGACCACAAACTTCGAACGTAGTGCAAGTTTATGGGACTCAACCTTGTAAATTCCAAAGTGCCCATTTTGAAGGCTTATATGTGAGCTATTGCCCATAAAAGGGGTATGGGAACTCGGGGAGTGCTCTGAGGGACATGAATCGGTGAATTTTTTTTTTTTTTTCAAAAAGCACTGTTTTTAAAGGGGCAGTCATTATTCTTTGCTTAAAGTAAAAAAAGAAAAATAAATATCATGCCTGGGGGGGATCCCATTACACTACCTGCAAAGCTGCGCATCTGTAGAATGCAGGACTGACATTTTTTTCAAAAATAAAATTTTTATTTAAAAAAAAACAAAGCAAAAAAAAAAAACAGCATGGGGCCCCCCTCAATCCATAACAGACCCTTTAAGTCTGGTAGGAAGGTTAGGAGGGACCCCACAGTAATTTTTTTTTTTTTCGTAAGTGCGTGGTGTTCCCCCCTAAAAACCCTTTATATTACGCCCTTTTAGGTGTGGAAGGACTTTTAAGGGGAACCCCACCCCTCCAAAATGGGGGGGGGGGTGGAGTGTCGGGTCCCCCCTGAATTCCTATCAGACCCTTGAGCCAAACACAGGCCTGGAAGGCCAGGAAAAAGGGAGGGGGGGTGAGCGAGTGTCCCCCCCTTCTGAACCATACCAGGCCATGTGCCCTCAACACAGAGTGCTTTGGGGTAGGGGCCCCCCCAAATTACCTTGTCCCTATATTGATGGGGACAAGGGCCTCTTCCCCACAACCCTGCGTTGTGGTTGAGGGGTCTGCGGGGTGTGACTTATCGGAATCTGGAAGCCCTCTTTAAGAAGGAGGCCCCCAGATCTCGCCCCCCCTTGTGAATGAGTATGGGGTACATGGTACCGATACCCATTCACCAAAAAAAGTGTAAAATGTGAATAAAACAAAAGTTTTTGACAAGCCAAAAAACTATTCCATCATTGTGAACCATCGTCAATCAGTGTCCAGCAATGGCACGACGCTGCTGACTCGCCGAAATAATAATAAAAAAAAAAAAAACACACCCACCAACCCATCCGCACTCACCGCTATCTGACATTTGCAGGTCAGATGTAAACAATTGGGCGGAGCTAGAGGTGATGCCACTGCTAGTTCCACCCAATTGTGCTGTGATTGGCCAAAGCATTGCACCTGACCTGTGGTCAGGTGCATTGCTTTGGCCAATCACAATGCACTGTCAGAGCGCAGTGCATTTTGGGGCGTGCATTGTGGTTCAACTCAAACATCAAGGACATTACAAGTAGCCAATCAGCTTCTAACTTCAGCTTGTTCAGCTGTGCTTCGGCAATGAAACCTGGAAGCTGATTGGTTTCTATGCAGGGTTGCACCAGATGTTGTACTCTTCAGTTTTAGTTAATAGCCCCCCATAGGCTTACATGGAGGGACATTGGAGGGGCAAAGAAAAAAAATGTCAAATGTCAAAAAATGTAAAACAGACGTTTTTGAGCTTCATTGTGGTAAATGAGGCCTTACGTGTATTTTTATATACAACTTGCATGAGTTATTGAATTTACAGAATTGGCCTTCTATCATGCATCGCAAAGCAGCACTCAGATGGGAAGGGGGGGGGGGATGGGGGAGGGACTAGGAACCAATTAGACTCTGCTGCCTGCACATGTGCTTATGGAACACTATGAGTGGAGTTGATGACTCATTGGCTATACATTGTACTTTGTCCAATTAGCAGGCTGGGGGCAAGAAGGTGACACCCCCATATCCCCTATCTCTATCAGAAAGTGTGGTGTTGTCATCAGGACGGGCTGTCTGGAAAAAAGTTCATGGATCAAAAAAAAGCCCAAAGGAATGACAAATCCTTTGGCTGTTCCCTCAGGTATATTTTAACAGCTTTTCTAACCGTTGGCCTGGAGTTCGGCTTTAACTCCTAATAATGGAGTGATTTTATTGCTGCTTAATGTCTTTTCTATAACAAGAGAGTCGTTCTTCCTGGGAAGTAATTTGCCGCCGAAACCCAATTTTCCTTTTTGTCCTGTGTCCGCTCCGTGAGAGATTGGATTCTAAACTGTATCAGATCTGTACAACTTTAACAAAGGATTCCGGCCTTTAATAAACCATTATTTTGAGCTTTTACTTCAAGGGAAAATGTCTCCGGTATACAAGGATTTTTGTTTTCATGCATCAGAAAATGTTCTGCAAAAATCGAACTCTGCTTATTATAGGGCCAGTTCCCGCAAAGCAGTGCAATTACCAATTGGCCTCTTATAGTTATACAATATTATTATAGTTGAGATGGCTCTATTTTTAGTATCTAATGGACAGTCCAACCAAGCACGATATTTTTGTTACAAGCAGAATATGCTGGACTCATTTAACTCCTGACTTTGTATGTTTTCCGTACGTCGATGTAAAGATCCTTCTGCCATGAGAGCAGATTCATACCTAACAGAATCAGGTGGCACATAGACTTCTATGGAGTAACTTTAAACTAGAGAAGTCTACAGGATTAGGGATCACACAGGGGAAATGGAAGACTTCATCCAGAGGCTTAGGATACATTCACGGCCTAATGAACGCAGATAGTTTTCTGTGTTCAGAGGTGACAACACTTTGTGCTATGGTCACAGTCGAGGCCAGTTTATGTGGGTCCAAAACTTTGCAGAAATGCTGACGAACTGGAGGCTCTATTTGCATGTAATCTCTCAGATGAGCCAGGAACAGTGATAGTGCCAGCTGTTCATTTTTACAAAGTGCAAATCTGCCAGTCATTGTTGACCAGTAGTGCTGTTCACACACAGTGTGTGCAGGCAGTGTGTAGGCAGGTGTTAGTACCCGTTAGAAAAACGTCTTCCCTGGGTAGATACTGTGTGTGGTACTAACTTAGTCCCGTATAATCTTGAGCTGGTAGAGCTTGGAACAGAAGTTGAGGGGAAGAGCTTGCCTTCAGCTTGCTTGTAGCCAGGGGTGGACTGACAACTCATGGGGCTCCCGGGCAATAGGGGATCATGGGGCCCCTGTGTCCTTGTCCAAACTCAAAAAAGCCTATGAAAAAGGTACCAGAGGCATCTCATGGGGCCCCCTACTGACCCGGGGCCCTCGGGCAGTGCCCGAGTTTCCAAATGGTCAGTCCGCCCCTGCTTGTAGCCTTAGAAAGTTAACCCTTTGAGGGGTAGGCCCGGTATAGGAGAAAGCACCTAAGGGGACTTGCAATGAGGAAAATGGAAGAGCTGGTTGTCCGCGTTATGATAATCTCGACCTGGAACTGTATAGTGTTACTGATGGAAGGAAAAACTCTTTCCTTGGGTGGATATTGTGGGTGGGGCTAGCTTGTTCCCTTATAATTTTGAGCCGGTAGAGCTTGAGGCAGACGTTGATCAGAAGAGCTTACCTTCAGTTACAACAACCATGTGAGCTTGTAGCTTTAGGAAGTGAACCCTTTAGGGGTAGACCTGGTATAGGAGAACCCACCTAAGGGGACTTACAATGAGGAAACTGGAAGAGTTGGTTGCCAACCCTGTAACAAAGTTGACCTTGAACTTTAAAGTGTTACTAATGTTTGGGGGGGTAAAGAGGTAAAGGTGAAGCTGTGTTTTGGCAAAGAACTGAACAACCTGTTCCTGCTGCAGTAAACCATAAAATGGCAGAATGTGTGGACGTTCCTTTATTTCTGCAGGGGGCACCCAGACAGAGAATGTGAGTAACCAAGATGGTGAAGTTCCCCCCATGTTACAGGTGTTTTATGCCCTATCCCATTTCTGTTGCAGAACGACAGTGAGAGGTGCGCTTGGCTAGCATGGTCATTGCTAGCGACAAATGAGGGTCACACTTACAGGTATATAGAACTGCCTATGGGAATCTAGAAATTCTAGCCAGCAGCCACCCCTGGTCACCCCTGTGCAACTGTGTGAATATAGCCTGGATTTTTAGCACCTTCTCTAAATGAGGTAAGTGTAAATATTCACATAGGGTAGAGAGCAGGGGTGGACTGACCATTCGAGCACTCGGGCACTGCTCGAGGGCCCGGGGTCAGTAGGGGGCCCCATGAAATGCCCCTGGTACCTTTTTTATAGGCTTTTTTTTGAGTGTGGGCAAGGACACAGGGGCCCCATGATCCCCTATTGCCCGGGGGCCCCATGAGTTGTCAGTCCACCCCTGGTAGAGAGCATAGATATTTAGGTCCGGGAAGTTGGCATTAAGGATAAGTGCATTTCATGTGAAAGTACACATAGAGTTTAGCAATAAAGAAAGGC